AAAAAAAAAAAAAAAAAAAAAAAAAAAAAAGCATTGTAGGGCATGGTGGCACACACTTGTAATCCCAGCACTCTGGGAGGCTGAGACAAAAGGACCTCCAAGTTTGAGCCCAGCCTGAACAATTTAGTGAGACCTTCCTTGTCTCAAAATATAAAAGGGCTAAGGATGTAGTCGAGTTCAAAGGCCCCAAGTTCAACCCCCAGTATTTTATATAAAAATTTTTAAATTACAAATCCAAGCTCAAGCTGAGCAACTTAGTAAGATCTGTGTCTAAATAATAGTACTCTCCAAATTGATCTACAGATTTGATACAATCTCTGTCAAAGTCCTAGCTGGCTTCTTAGTGTAAAGTGTAAAGCTCAACCTAGAATACCCAAATAATTTTTTTAAATACCAAGTTGGAGGACTCATGCTTGCCAAGTTCTAATGTTCAGCACAGAACTAAGTAATCAAAACATCAGGGACTGGAATATACAGACATATGGATCAATGGGACAGGACTGAGTGTCCAGGATAAAAAAAACACACTGAAATTAGACTATTTTTGCCAAGGTTGTCAAAACAATTTGTTGTTGTTTTTTGAGCAGGGTCTCACTATGTAATTCAGGCTGGCCCTGAACTCACTATGTAGCCCAGGCTGACCTCAAATTCACGGTGATCCTCCTGCCTCAGCCTCCCTAGATCTGGGGTTACAGGAGTGTGCCAGCATAGAAAGAATTCTTATAACTCAACAATAAAAAGACAAAAAACCTTAGTGAAAATTGGGCAAAGGATCTAAATAGACAATTATCTTAAGAAGAAAAAGCCAAATACACTAATCATTTTAAGAACATGCAAATCTAATCACAGTTGAGATAGCATTTTACATCCAGTAGGGTGTCCATGATTGAAAACCAGGCTAGGTGTGGTGCTTGGTTACATTTGTGAGGCCCTGGGTTTGATCCCCGGCAGTTTAAAAAAAACAATATTGGGGCTGGGAATTTAATTCAGTGGCACCACGCCTGACTTGCAAGCGTAAAGTCCTGAGTTCAATCCTGGTACCAAAAAAAAAAAAAAAGGTATTAAGGTATTGATTACTAAAATCAATTATGGTAATGACTGTGTAAGTTGTAAATGGTTGAACTATGTAATCTGAAATATATATAAATAGAGTGGTTTTTAGAACACAGTCAAAGGGAGTTAGAGTACAGCTCAGTGGTAGAGTATTTGCCCACCATGCACCATCCACAGTACTGGAAAACAAAACTCCCAGGAGCCAACACAGTAAAAGGTAGGCTGGTTGTGCAGCACAACCCTGGAGCACAGGTCTAGTACAGGTAGAGCATGCATGATGCCTGTGTTCAATCCATACCACCAAAGGAGCAAGAGTAAAAGGTAAAAACACATGTAAGTTAGAAGGAAAAGGATAGCGCTGGAATGGCTATATTTCTACCAAGTAGATATCTAAAAAAAAAAAAAAAAAAAAAAAAAAAACTGCTCTGAAATTGGAATAAAGGGACGTCATATAATGATGACACTAGGAAGTTTTGGGGGTTTTTTTAGATTTGTTTTTTTTGGTATGGGGATCGAACTCAGGACCTTGTGCTTGTGAGGCAGGTGCGGAACCACTGAGCTAAATCCCTAGCCCCACTAGGAAGGTTTTAAAATTCTACAACTAGGCCGGGGATTTGATGCAGTGGTGCTGCCACCTGTCTCATAAGCGCAAGGTCCTGAGTTCAATCTCCAGTACCAAAAAAGAAAAAACCTAAAATTCTACAACTGAGTGTCAAAATACATGAAGCAAGCCAGGCATGATGGCACACACCTGTGATTCTGGCACGTTGGGAAGCTGACTCTGGAAGAGCACAAGTTCAAACCCAACCTAGGCAATTAGCAAAGCAAGCCCCTGACTCAAAAAGTGAAAAAGGGTTGGGGATGTAACTCAGTACAGAGGCCCTGGTTCAATCCCCAATATCACAAAACAAAAACAGACAGACAAACAAAAAAAAAAACCACATTCACTAACAACAGAATATACATTTCTCTAAAGTATATATGCAATATACACCAAGATTAAGAATATCCTGGATCTTGACAAATTGAAAATAATTAAAATCATGCAGAATATGTTCTCTCACCATAAGGGAATTAAACTGGAAATCAGTATCAAAAAGGCAATGGGAAATGGTTCCAACACTGGAAACTGACCAACACTCTTCTAATTAAGCCATGGGTCGAAAAGGAAGTCTCAAGGGCAACTGGAAAATATTTTGAACTGAACAAAAAATGAAAATACAACATATCAAAGCTGTAGAGTGCAGCTAAATTAGTGCTCAGGGGGAAATTTAGGTCATCGTATGCTTCTGTTAGAAAAGAAGATCAACGATCTAAGCTTCTACTGCAAGTAGAAGGATAAAGAGCAGAAATCAATGAAATTAACAATAGCAATAAAATCAATGAAACACAAAGGTGGTTCTATGAAAAGATCATTATAAATGTTAAGCCTCTGGGGGAAGGGAAAGAGGGAGAGGGAATGAGGGTGGGAGGGAGGGAGAGAGAGAAGGGAAGTAGTGAGAGAAGAGAGGATTGTTGCTATCAGGAAGGAAAGAGGCTATCATTACAAGGGACGTAAAAAGGCGATGAGAGGATATTATGGGCAGCTCTATATAAATCCAGCAAATTTGATAAAAATTGATCTGTTTCTTGGAAATCACAAGCCACCAAAACTCACCCAAGAGGAATAAATAATATGAATCATCTGGCATCTATTAAAGAAATTGAATTCATAGTTTAAAATCTTTTGAAAAAGAACTCTCTAAGCCCTGATGACTTTAGTGGCGATTCTACTAAACAGCAAAAGAATACCTCTACATAATCTCTTCCAGAAAACCAAAGAGCAAACACTTCCCAAGTAATAACCTGAATTGCAATAATCGAATATTAAAATCAAAGACAGTGTAAGAAAACTACAAACCAACATTTTCCACAGACATAAAAATTCAAAAACATTAGCAAATCAACCTCAGCAACAGGTAAGAACAGTACCCCAAGACCAAGTGGGATTTATGCCAGAAATCATAGCTAAGTCAGTATTCCAAAACCAACCAGTTTTACCAGGCTAAAGAAGAAAATTCACATGATCCTGCTTGATGCAGAAAGAACATCTAACAAAATCCAGTACCTATTATGAAACATTGAGAGCTGGGTGTGGTGGTGGGTTTCTGTAACCCCAGTCAACTGGGTGGCTGAGCCAGGAGGATCTCAAGTCTTATAAGGAATGGGAAAGGAGACATTACCAGAATGCCTGCAGTGGGTCCTGGTCTTCTGTGAGCCATGACAGCACAAGGTTAGGAAATAAAGACAGGAGGCAAGACTTAGAAAAGGCTGGGTCTTGGGCCTGTAGTCCTGCACTGGACAGAAAAGACAAAGGTGCTCTGAGCTCACCATTATTTATTGGGTTCATAAGGAGTATCAGATGACTCAGAGAGCAGCAATAACCCTAAATTGACAAGGATCTTCTAATTGGAAGTGTCAGTCAGATGACTCAGAGGGTAGCAGTAATCCTATGACAACGAGGATCTTAGGCTGACGAGGATCTTAGTCAATGAGGAGTTTATGTTGATTAGGAGGTGAGATGAGCAAAAGGTTCTTATAGCAGTAGGTGGGATGAGTTAAGCTGATAAGGAATTTGTCCCTCCTCAGGTGAACTTTCTCTATTTGTGAACCAGGATGTCTTCAGCTGATGTAATCTTGCCCTTGAGCATCATAGCCTCAGGGACCATTGAAGTCTCAGCTGTGATTGGAGGCAAAAGAGAGTCATGCTTGCACACGTCATAGCTGGCCCACAGGCAAGAAGACTAGGCCTCAGACAGCCCTAATCATAATTTGTCAAATGAATTTTCCCCAAAATTATGTAGAATGGCTCCCAACAAAATCTGAACCCAGAATGGGCAAATTCGGGATTTAGAGAGAGCTAGTCTCAAAATGAAAAATAAAAAAGGATAAGACTTGCGATAGCTCTAAGGTCCTTAGTTTTATCCCCAGCACTAGGGGAAAAAGAAAGGCAAAAAACTTGGCACATTTTGCCAAAAGGATACACAGATAGCAAGAGCTGGTGAGGGATGCTCAATATTGTTAGACCACAGCGGGCAGCGGGCACTGTTAGCACATGAAGACAAGAGCACTGTGCAAGGTGCCATGCCTTACTCTATGTGCAGAAAAAGCTGGGCCTCAGGCTCTGTGATAGAGACCTTGCCTAGCATGCACAAGGCCCTGGCTTGGGTGCTCAGCACTGCCCCCCACCCAAGAAAAAAGGAGAAGATAAAAGCTGGACCTTAACATTGATTGCCAGGTGACAAAGGAAAATGCTGAACAGCCCTGCAAGATTCCTGCTCGGCAGACACGATATTTCTGCAAAAGAATGGGTAGAACACACAGAATGTATCAGTGACATCCAGGCACAGCAAGAGTGCAAGACAGTTGGTCTCACAGGATGCTGGCGCTGCCAGAGAGCAATGAGATGCACTCAGGCAAGCAGGAGCAGCATAAACCACTAAAGGAAGGAAGGCCACCACCTCAGCACCTGAGCAGGGGACCTGGGACCTGACAGCCAGTGCTGGTGGCTGGAGGCTGAGTTTCGTGTTCTCCATTTTTCACTGGAAAGATTTGACCGAAAACCTCTTTATGCCAAAGTGGGTGAAAATAAAAACTGCTCTATTAAAAAAGGAAAGCAAACCATCCCAAATGGGCTGGGGACATAGCTCAGTGGTAGAGTATGCTCTTAGCACGCATGAGGCTCCAGCTCCAGTCCCAGCCCTACCAAAAAGAAAAACCTGTGAGCTACTGCTTTGGGGTCACTAGAAGAGCTAAAATCAGCACTGACAGTATGGAGTGCTGAGGGTATAGTGACTGCTGCCAAAATGTCCAGCTTGTATGGGTGGCACCACTGGCCAGCTGCAAAATGACACATTCTAGATCACAGTGTGGCTTGCTTACAAATCCCATGCCTTGCTATTTACCCAAGAAGTGAAAGCATATGTCTACAAAGATACCGGTGGTGTGCTCGCTTTGGCAGCATATACACAGAAACTGGTGCACGGTCAGCTCTGCTTCTAATCACTACACCTTGGAAACCACCCAAACCTCCTTCAGTGGACAAACTGTGGAATGGCCATGGTGTGGAATACTACGGAGCAAGGAAGAGGATACAGTCAGCAGCCTGCACAAACCTCACAGGCATTATGCTGACGGAGAGAGTGGATAAACTGGTTCCACTTCTGTGCCTTTGTAGGGTAGGGGAGCACTGCCACCATGTGACAGCACAGGGAACATTTAAGGGACAGACTTGTGTCCTGATGGTGGCAGGTGACAAGTCTCTACATGTATTCAAACTCATAAAACTATGCTCAGAAATAGTATGTTTTTATTGCACATTAACTTTCAAAATATTTCAATGCAGTGGGTGACTGGTCTGGGAAGCCCTCACCTGGCAAGGTGCCTTAGGACCTGGAGAAGGTGGGGACAGTGGGCTCTTGGTGCACAATATGGCAAGGGCGACCCAAGGCCACTATGCTTGGGGATGTACAGAGCACCGCGCAGAACACTGGCCCTGCAGAGGGGACAGAGGCTGCCGCAGGGGCTGAAGCCCATGAGGAACCATAAGATGGGTGGGTGGTGCTGGGCCAGGGGCGCAAGAAGGGCACGTGGGTGAGCTGGCTAGGGGGCAGGACACCAGCTCCCCACACTGTGAGAGCTCTGGGGTTGGTACGGCTGCAGTGCGGTGGCCTGTTTTTAAGAACACTGAGGTAGGCCTGAGGCAGAAGCAGGACGCCTTGGGGCTGAAGTTCTCTTGGCCTCAGTCCCCTCCATATGCCCACACCTCATAGCGGTCCTCTTGGTCCAGCAGGGCACCTGTTGGTCCACCTCTTGGCTACAGCAGGGGCAGGGGCCTCAGGAGACATGGTCACTGGGCCTCGGTGGATGGTGCAGCCCCACCACAGCGCCATGACACACATGGGGCGTGGGTAGGCCAGCCGGCCCAGTGTCCACAGCTGTGCCCCAAAGGTGAGACCAGGGCAGCAGCACATCTGCATGAAGATGCTCAGCGGTCATGGGTTCAAGCAGTAAGGGCAGGCGCAGGCAGCACGGGGTCAGGCATTCCTCTGCTCCGGGGGCAGGTATGCCAGGCCCAGGTGTGTGAAGATGTCCTCCTCCGAAGCCACATGGAAACATGTCTTCTGCAACAGGAGAGGGGCATCAGTGGCCGGGCCATGCTCCGCGGCACCCACGCATGGTGCACAGCCACCCTGAGACAGGCTGGCCGGGGCCGGGATCTGGGACTTGGGCCTGGAACTGGGTTCTGGGCAGCGTGAGGGCTCCACCCCCCTCCCACACGTACCTGCTCTGGGTGGAACAGCCCATGGCTATTCAGACACAGCCCCTTCTCCTTCCGGCTAAAGCGGCGCAGCTCCCTCTCAAAGAGCTGCAGGGAAGTGTGTGCCTCAGTGGGACTGGCTGGGATGCAGTGGCCACTGGGGGGGGCAGGAGGGAACCGGGGGAGCTTGCACCTCAGGGTGGCCAGCCCAGGCCCACCTTTGAGCCAGTCCAGCCGAGAAGGGCAAAAGGGAACTGGCTCCATGGGGCGACCACCAGGTCCACCCTCACAGCCTTCCAGGCTGCCCCGGAGGGTTGCAGCAGGCGTAGGATGCAGAGACTCCGCTCGAAGGCATCCATGGTGTGGCTCTGCTGAGCTAGGTGGCCAGGGTCCCCCAAATGGCTGCGCTGGTGCTGGTGGTACAGGACGAGGCCCTGCGGGGAGAGCAGGTGTCCCAGCTCCGCTGCAGTGTGGGCATGGCTCACCCGCCAGGGCCCAGAGCGCTCACCTGGCTCTGCAGCTGGCACATCACGCTGGGCAGCAGCCCCGCCTCCCGGCCCTCCTCAGGGTGGGTGATGAGGAAGTCCACGTCATGGCCCTGCAGCTTCCCCCTGCAGGGTGGGGTGGTGCTGGGAGTCAGCACGGGCTGGGTCCCTTTAGAGGGTTGGGAGTCCCCTCAGTGTCCACACACAGGTCCCTTCGCTGGGCCCAGGCCTGGAGTCCAGCCAGGACACTGGGGCCCTTACCTCCTGAAGCCGCCGGTCAGTGTGACTGTGGCCCCAGGCAGGGCCCGTCCCACGGCGGCCTCCACCAGCTGCTGCAGAGCCTTGGCGTCCAGCCGCCCCACAGGGGTACACAGGTCATGGTGGTGCTGCAGCCCTGCAGGCAGCCGCCACACAACCTCACGAGGCCTGCCCCGGCCCACGTGACCCGCACACTGCCCCACTGGGCCTCAGCTCCCCATGCAGGTGCTCAGTGGCCCAGCCCTCCCCAGGTACATATCAGTGCCTTGCTTTGTTTTTCGGTACTGGGGATTGAGCCCAGACTCAGGACCTTCACACTAAGCTGCATCCAAACATCCTTTTTAAATTTTGAGACAGGGTCTTGCTAAGTTTCTAAGTTGCCCAGGATGGGCTAGAATTTGTGATTCTCCTGCCTCAGCCTCCCAGAGTACTGGGATTACTGGTGTGTATCAGTGCACCCACCTTACATACTAGCTTTTACTTTGATGTAACTGTAGACTCACATTCCATTGAAAGAAGTGGAAGATTCCCTGTGCACACTACCCCATGCCCTGCAAAGGTAACAAAGGTAATAGCTTGCAAAACTATAGTAGAGTCAAATAGAAGGATGCAGAGTTGACAGTTTCTCCATTCAAAGGTGTGACCAAGACATGGTCAGAAGATGGGAGGAAGCTACACATGGTGGCGCATGCCTGTAATCCCAGCACTCTGGGAGGATGAGGCAGGAGGACTTCAAGTTCTAGCCCAGCCTGGCCACTCAGCCACCTGGTGAGACGGTCACTAAATACAGAATAAAACAAGGAGCTGGGGTTGGAGCTCAGTGTGAAGGTCCTGGGTTTGATCTCCAGAATCCCCACAGCCTTCCAAAAAAGGATGGAAAGTAGGTGGCCCAGCCACCTTGCCTTTAGCCTCCTCCTGCCTCCCACCTGTCCCGCTGTCGCTGAACCTCCCACAGGCCGTTCAGGAGAGGTTTGCCTGTGAGAAGCAGCAGCGCCATGCAGCCCCAGGGAGAGGGACTGGGGGACATCCCACCCGCCTCCTGAGCCGCAGCAGCCAGGGACAGGAATGAGCTGGCCATCGGTGGGAGATGGACTGAGTGTGTGCTCCACACCCGCCCCTGCCTGGCTTACAGAGGAGCGTGTGGCAGCCACGCTCAGCCTCCCCACCTCAGAGAAGGTGGCCAACACTCCCAGTGCTCAGTCTCAGGCTCATGGTCACCTATGTGGTAAAAGAAGATGGAACTCAAAGCCAGGCTCAGGGAACCTGGCAGCTGGTGTTCTTTATCATCCCAGAGCACCTGGGGCCTCACACATCACACTGGACAGGCCTGGGCCTCACAGGAGCTGCAACATGGGCTCCTGCCACCTCCGTGCCTCAGCCACAACTACTGCCTGCTACCGAGCCTCCTTCACACAGGCTGCCCCTGCCCCACAGGCAGAGGTGCTGAGGGCTCTGGGAAGCAGGGCGACCTTGTGGGGCGCACCTGCCCACTGCTGCCGGGTCAGTCTCTGGGGCTGCTCGCGGAGCTCGTCCAGGGTACGCAGCCCTTGCCGGTACCACCGGTCAGCGGTCTTTACCCCGACCCCGAAGATCTGGGTGAAGAGCTGTGTGGACAAAGGACAGATGGTGGGTGAGCATGACACTTCCAAGCAGATGTATCTGCGGGCCCAGGCCATAGGGCAAAGGTGCAACTCTGAGGTCAGCCAGCCCAGTCCACTTGAACCACTGAACCGGAAGTTGTGCTACCCCAAGACCAAGAAGTTGGGTGAGCAGCTCCGCCCATCTGGAAGCCCCTTTCTTGCTCCCATGCAGCCAGAATTTGCTGCGTGGCTCTCAGCACACAGTACATGAAGGTGGTTTCAGCAGGAGTGCTAAGGGGAGCCCACTCCCCGCCACCCAGAATTCTGTACAGCAGAGGGGCTGCTTTTGCTGTCTTCCCACACAGAGGTGGTGTGGGAGTGGCTAACTGGTCCAGGGGCCCTGAGCCAAGCCTGTCACCTGGCCTGAGCCAGCCACTCACTCTCCCCAGCAGCCATGCAGTGGCGGAGGCTACATGTGTGGCCACCTCTCCTGCAGCAGGGACACTGATGCGTATCACAAGAGGAGGAAAGAGTGGCTATAGCCCTGCCCTTTCTGGGCTTTGCTAGGCCATCTTCTCCCTGATTTTCTGAATCTATAACATGAGGCAGGCCACTGTCACTTTGGCCATTGAAACCTGACTTTAAAAATACTGAGCTTGGGCAGGGAATTTAGCTCAGTGGTTTTGCCATCTGCTTCACAAGTGCAAGATCCCAAGTTCAATCCCCGGTATCCCCAATGCCCCAAAAATACTGAGATTAGCTAGGCCTGATGGCAGACCTGTGATCCTAGTCAGTCACTCTGGAGGAAGAGGCAGGAGGATTGCAAGTTCAAGGCCTGCATGGACAATTTAGTGATGTCCTTTCAAAAAACAGAAAAGTAAAATGGGCTGGGTGTTTAGCTCAGTGGCACAGCATTTGCTTAGTGTCCACAAGGCCCCAGATTCCACTACTGGGAAAACCAAAAAACCAAAAACCCCAAAAACCCCAAAACAAACCCCCAAACAGATGGTGCTGAGTGTTCTAGAAAATTCCGTGTGCTCATGTAGGCTTCTCCACTTGTTGGTCCTGTGTGTATCAGGTGTCAGCTCAGCTGCCCTTTCCTTGCCAAGACCTCCTCTGACCTCAGCATTGGGTCAGCGTCCCCCACCTCCACCCCACGTGTGCTGCAGACTGTGCTGTGGCCCTGCCAGGGTCCCACCTGCCTGCGCACCTTCATGGTCTGGTACCTCTCAGAGCTGCGAACCCTCTCCACCTCTTCACATACTCCTCGCTCCAGCAGCTCCTGGGGAGAAGATAAAAGCAAAACTCTAAGCCCCTGGGACTGGAGAGAAAGAGAATGAGCAGTTGGGGGTGGCACAGGGGCCCAGGGACAGGGTGATCCCCTCCCACCCTGCTGGGATGCCTGTAGTGTTGGGGTCCAGAGGGACTCAGCAACGGACACTGTGCCGAGGAACGTGGGCAGCAGGGGTCCAGGGTCAGAGCTGCAGCATCACAAACAGCAGCTGAGGCTGAAGGTAACATGGGTCTTCCTGCAGATGGATGTCAGGCCCAGGAGATATAAACATTTGCTTTCAAAGCATGCATGGTTTCACTTAAAAGCGTCTTTTACCACTGTGTGTTCTTGATGTGAAAGTACACCGAAAGGCAGTGCCCTGGGTCAAGTTCTCAAAACCTTACAATCAGGGTGCTGCTGTCTTCCACTGTCCTGGGCAGCTGGCACCCATGAGGACGAGGACTCCAAGGCCAGCGACTCCCTGCTGAGTCCTCAGCACTGAGGGCCTTGGGGCAGCTCTGTCCCTCCCTGCTGGGCTCTGAAAACAGAAGCTCCACTCTCTCACCCCACACACCCTGCTCAGCATGGCAGACACTGACCTGGACAATGTTAGAGGAATGTTCTCCGAAGTGTGGCAGCCCCTGCAACTGGCTCAGCACTGTGACAGGCCAAGGCAGGGCCCTGAGCACTGAGGCTGATCTGCGGAAGGAGAGGAGGCGACCCTCACTGCCTTCAAAGCCTGCTGCCTCTGCCAGCGTCTCCAGGGCCTCCTGCAAAGCAGACCCTTGGTGAACCCCCATCTACCATATCACCCATGCTGAGCTCCTCCTAGGGCAGGACCTGCTCACGGAGCTCACCGAGAGGCTGCTGTTGTGGTGCACGAGGGGTGTGGAACGTTGGCAGGCATAGGCTGGCATCAAAACTGCTGGGGTTGAGGGCTCCTTCCTGGGCTCAGCCACCTGAGGAAGGGAGATGTATGGGTCATGATGAGGCTGCAAGGCTGGCAGGAGCCAGGCAGGACCCTGGCCTCTTCTGGGCATTCACCTTGGACCCTCAGGGCCCACAGGACAGAGGCAGCCAACTCTGAGAGGGAGGTGGGGCAGAGGGAGGCACCTGCCTACAGAACAGACTGTAGAGGGGGCTCTTCAGGCCAGAGCAATAGCAGCGACATCTGCCAAACCCTGTGGAGAACTTTCGCTGCCACCCCACATGTTGCATGTGCTCCAGCTCACCAAATCCTCACGGCCAAGTGGGCAGGGACACTGAGGTGCTGGAGGTTAAGAGCTGGCCTCTGCTTCAGGTTTACATGCACAGAGAGAACTTTAGCACAGGCAGCCCAGCTCCTGAGAATCCTGAAGGTCATTCACTTAGTGAGGGATAAAGGTCTGAAGATGCTAAAAAGAAGTGGACTCCAAGTGGTGAGGACAGATGCTGGAATGGCCCAGCCCCTGCCAGTGCCTCTACTGGCTTCTCAGGGTCTCCTGGTGGTCTGGTCGGAGCCCCCACTGTCCACATCCTCTGGAGGACACACAGGCACTCCTGCTTCACCACCAGGTTGCACCAGCTCACCTCCAGGCAGTGCCGGTTCTCCACAGGCACAGGCTGCCCAGCTGCCATGCTCTCTGTGAACCAGCTGATATCCAGCAGAGCTGGGCGGGGGCATCCTAGGGGAGGAGCAGCCGCCTGTTCCTGCCAGCAGGCAGCCACCTCCGCGGAGGTCTGCTCCATCACCACATGAGTCACTTCGGAGCTGGCGAAGGGAGAGGAAGAGGATGAGGCTTGGTGGGGGGACACCCTGCTCCTCTCAATACCTGTGAGCCTTTGACTTGCCCTGCATAGTGACTACCCTTCATTCTTCAAATGTCACCTGTAGGAAGCCCAGTCCCTCCTGCTGGGGATGAACACCTCTATCACTCTCAGAACTGTGATTCTGCCAGGTAGTGTGGAGCACACTACATCTAAACCTAACGCTGACCCTAACGTGAGCGAGAAGGACTGCAAATTTGAGCCCAGCCTGGACAACGAAGGCTGTCTCAAAATTTTAAAAGGCTGGGAAGGTAGCTCAGTACAAAGGCCTTGGGTTTAATCCCAGGACCAGGAAAACAAAACTGTGTTTTTCTGCCCCAGGTAAGCTCTTGAGGACAACCTCACTGTTAATGTCTGTCCCTCTCCCCGCCTCAGACATAGGAGCGTCCCAGAGGCCAAAGCCAGGTTGTCTTCATCTCACCTCCGGGTTTAAGGGCAGGTATGGAGTTGCCTGCTTTTGTTTGAACCCTAGTTCTGCAAAACTTGCTGCACACTCTTGGGCAAATAGGGTCTCCTCTCCTTTATAAAGCAAAAGAGCATATATTGTAGGGCTGTTGTAAAACAGTGCCCCGCTACACTCTAATAGTCTAGCTAACTTCTCTCAGGTGAGTCTGATATACTACTGCCCCTTAGGAACGTTTAATTAACTTGAAAGTAAGTAAGGGCTGCACGGAGCACCGGTCCCAAGACCATTCGCTCTCCCATCTCAAGGCTGTTCTCAGTGGGCAGCCGCCGGGTGCGGCTCTCCGAAATCCTGGGTTGAGTTTCAGTGTTGCTGCAGGACACCCCTGGCCCTAATAAACGGCACCCTTCACGGAAGAGGAAGTCGCGGCGGGAGGAAGACAGCGATGCGAAAAGCCAGGTCTAACTTTCATCCCAAGGCCGCAGGGAGGACCGGGCGGCGGTCTCACTCCGCACCTCGCGCAGCGGGCGCCCGCAGAACACCGGGTCCTGGGGACCGCGCACCTGTAGGTGTCCAGGACGCGGAAACCTTTGGACAGCGCCAGGCGTGTGAGAAAGGCCCGGCGGCTACGGCCCATGCGCGGCTCGGCCAGGTAGATAGCGACGCCGGGGAAAAGAGCCGAAGACGGTGAGCAGAAGGCGTCAGCGCAGCCCGGAGACCTGGCCCGCATTCGCCGCCGCTTTGGAAGCATCTGAGCGTGGACTCGTGTGGCTCTTCGGCTCCGCGGAAGGAAGGCGGACGGAAGCTCAAAAGAAGGCGGACGGACGGAAGCCTGAAGGCTAGGGAAGTGGACCCGCCTCTATGCAAATAAGATAACGGACACGCCTTCTATTTAAATTTTCCTCTAGGAGAGGCCGAGCGCAGGAGGGGTAGGCAAGGAGAGGTGGTGGGCGGGGCCTCGGCCTGGGGCGTGGCTTCGTCCTCCGGGGCGGACTGTACTACCCACCGCCAGTTGTTGGCCGGGCCCGGCCGATGGCTCCCTACCCGGTACACCGCCCTGCGTGGGATCCTTAGGATTCCTGGGTTCCGCAGGGTCCGCGTGGGCTCCTCAGGCCGTCGCCTCCAAGGCTCGTGGAAGATTTTTTTGGGCGAGTGACGCTGGGACGGCTGGCCAGCCCTTTGGAAAAATAGAAATTGGCACAGTCCCCTTACTGCTTAGCACCAAATAAATTCCAGATGGATCAAACATTTAAATCTAAAAAAGAAACCAAAGCCGTACTGGAAAAAGAACTAGTATCACAATAAACTTGGAAATACTAAAGGAAAAGAATGATAAAAGTGAACCACATACAAATTTAAAATGTGTTTAAAAATTTGTCAAAAGACAAACTGGTTCACTTTTTAATGTGACATATTTTGTTTGTTTTTTTGGTACTGGGGATTAAACTTGGGTCCTTGTGCTTGCGAGGCAGGCAGCAGAACCACTGAACTAAATCCCCAGCCCTAATGTGACATTTTGAAATTAACATAATAAAAATTTTAAAACAAATATAACATTAAAAAGGGGAAGCAATAAAATTTACTATAGATAAGAGACTCTGATCTAATAAAATTGGCAAAGAAACATGAATGGACAATTCTCAGAAGTCCTAGTGGAGCTGGTGTGGTGGTGCACACCTGTAATCCCCCAAGTATGGGAGGCTGAGGCGGGAGGATCACAAGTTCTAGCCCAGCTTGGGCAACTTAATGAGACCCTTTCTCAAAACGGAACATTAAAAAGGGGCGGGGGGGCGTAGCTCAGAGTGAAGAAATGGGTAGAAGGGGAAGAGAGGAAGGAGGTGGAGGGAAATACCAGTTGATCCATGCATGACTAGGCCTCACGCTGTCATGAGAGGACAGCACATTTAAAGGAAAATGTCTTCACCTGCTGGGTTAGCAACGCTGGTCCCAAGTGTGGAAGGTGTGAGGGAACTTGCAGTTTGTAGGAGGGATTCACTCCCTGGAACCCAGTTTAGCAAACATGTTAAACAAAATGAAAACAAACTCATGCATACGGATCCAGCAGTTCCTTTCCACGATTGGGATCACGTGGAATCTGCGGGTGAGGTGGAACTCCGGCCCTTTGACAGAGATGTTTCCTGGCCGGCTGCCCAGGGTGTGCCACGTCAGGAATGTTCTGGCAGGGCAGCCCTGCCCAACCTCCAGCCCCCGGGAGGTGCAGTCAGGGTGGGCTTGGCCTTTTGCAGCCTCTCCTGGTTCTTTCCCCTGAGTCCATTCTCCTCCGGGACTGTGCCGCTGGCCTATCCTCTCACCTTTTCTGTTGTCTTTCTTAGCCAGTCTGGGCCCCAGCTCAGTCCCAGGGCACAGGGCTGAGGGAAAGAAGCAGGTGGCTCAGCCCTGTCATCCCCCTGACCTCCTGGACACCCACTACCCCTCCAGACCTTTAGAGCGGCCAGAGTCAGGACCCTCGCACCACAGCCAGGAGGCCAGCGTGCAGCTCTCTCATCTGACCTCCTGCCACCTGAGGGCCCAGCTTTCGTCCTCCTCACATATAGCTTTGCTGAATGTCCCTTGAGCAATTCCCTCACTCCCAGTCTCCTAAAACTGGCTCCTTTCCTCTTGGTGTCTCCATCTCAGCCTGACCCCGCTTGGAGGGTCTCTCCCTCCTGGGCTGACAGAGGCAGTCATGCCCAGAATTCTGTGCAGCTGTGCAAAAGCGTTGGTCTAGCAGTTCTGCACAAGCCCCACTGGAGGAAACTGGCTTAGAGATGGCCTCCAAGCACTGCTGCGCAGTCTGCTGGGACCTCACAGGGCAGAGGGTGATGTGGACAGGGTGGGGCTCTGCCCTGTACCCCACGGAGAGGTGACCTACAATGGAGTGGGGCAGATGGGACTGGGTTTTCTTCTGCTTCTGTGATGATCTCTTGTTTCCCAGACTGGAGCTCAGTGTCCTGGGAATGGGGTGTGTGTGTGCGCACGCACGTGTGAGGGTCCCAGGAAGGTGAGCATAGAGCTGGACCTGCAACTCCCCTGGAGGCAGGCAGAAGTCCCCACAGCAGGCCATTTCCCCAGGACCTGGCTTCCGCAGCAGGGGCAGGTGGACCTGTGTGTGTCCAGCAGGCCCCTGAAAGAGTGGGGGCTGGGGCAAAAGATCCCAGAAATGGAGCCACCGGCTTGTGGCAGGTGCTGTGGAACTGACTTCCAGTTTCTGTGCTCACTGGGCCTGATCTCCCCATCTGGTCTGGGGAAGGCCAGTGTGGCAAGGGGTCTCCAGGCGAGTATGGGGAGGCCGTCTCCTCCCTGGGGCACAGCAGAGCAGGATGTGGCTGAGCCTCCCCAGACAGTAACAGTTAATTGTATGGGTGTGGCCTGGGTATCTATATTTTATTTTAATTAATTTTTTTGGTGGTACTGGGGATTGAACCCAAGTCATTCACTCTGAGCTACATCCCTGGCCCCTTTTTTATTTTTTTATTTTGCAGCTGGGTCTTGCTAAGTCACTAAGTTGCCCAGACTTGGCTGGAACTTGTGATGCTCCTGCCTCAGCCTCTCAGAGTGCTGGGATTGTAGGTAGGTAGCACCATGCCAAACTGACATCTGAATTCAAAGAGCTCCCTGCAGATGTGCCCTCACTGAGACCTGCTGCTCTAGGGACAGGGCCCTGCTGTCCTGTGTCAAAGGCTTTGTCCTCAGCTTGGCACTGTTGAAAGTGGTGCTGGGGCTGGTAGAAGTTCTTGGGTCCCTGGGGTGCAGCCTCCAAGGGATTTTGAGACTGTTGTCGCCATGCCACCAGCCGAAAAAAAGCAATCAGGCCAAATGAACATGGACTAAAACCACCACCCCTGTGAGCAAAAGTCACCTTTTCTCTGTGTAAGTTGGTTACCTTGGGGGTTTTGTTATGGTAACAGAAAGCTAACACGAGGCCCTTCTGGGAGAAGGAAACACTGGCAACAAGTTTATGTGTGTTAAAGTAAAAGCTGGAGTCAGACATGGTGGCATACACCTATGATCCCAGCACTCTGGGAGGCCGAGGCAGAAGTATCAAAGTTCCAGCCCAACCTGGGCAACTTAGTGACTTAGTGGACCTTGTCTCAAAATAAAACATAAAAAAAAAAAAAAAAAAAAAAAAAAAAAAAAAAAAAAAAGGACTGAGGAAGAGCTCAGCGCAAAGGTCCTGGGTTCAGTACCACAAAAACAAAAAAGTAAAAGGAAATCACTTAAAAATCCAATAACCAGAGTGGTGGAATAAATGTTGCTGTGTCCACACCGCAGACACATGCAGCCATTAAGAATGACTCCATGTGGTTTTACTCATGATCAGGGTTATGGTTTAGGGACTGGAATGTGTTAAAGGCTTGGTCCCCACTGCTGAATGCACAGAGGTGGGGCTTTGGGATCATGAGGGCTCTAAATTAGATGCATCAATCACTGGGTCCATAATGAGATAGGGTGTTGAGAGGTGATGAGAAGTTGGAAGTTGGGACCAAGTTGAAGGTAGTGGTCCCCATACCTCCTCCCCAACCCCTCCTTTGTCTCTCCAGTTCCTGGCCAACATGAGATAAACAGCTTTCTTCTGCCGCATCCTTCTGCCATGATGTTTTCACCTCACAACTGACCTGAAAGTAATGGAGCTGGTTGACCATGGCCTGAAACCTTTGAAACCATGAGCTGAAATAAATTTCTCCTTGAAGTTGTTTATCTGAGGTATTTTGTTGCAGTGATGAAAAGCTGACTATCACAAACAAACACTTTCGATGTTCTTTCACTAGAGAACAGCCCACCACACTGGGGCATCCGCACTTTGGGACATAGGGACAGGTGGCATGATAGCGTGAATGAGGCTCCAGTGCCTTCCACTAAGTGGAAAGAACCACACACCATTGCTAATACCATTTGGGAAATGGACCACTGGTTGCCAGAAGCTGGGATGGGAGCAGAGGTTAGTGCAAAGGACTGCGCAGGAATCTGGTAGAGCAAAATGTTCCTTGCCTGTGGGAGACCAGAGGAGAATTGAAGCCTAATTGGCCTCCTCTGTGAGGACAAAAGAGAAAGGCTGCACTCAGGGGTGATTGCACATTGCAGGTTCTAGAGAAAATTTAAGACAGCTGAGCTGAAGTTGTTTACCAGATAATGCACTAATGATATTGGAAAGCAGATGAACTGGGTGTTACTTTGATTGCCTGTGCCCGTGTTTGGGTGAATAAAGGTGAGATGAGCCAGACCTGAGGCTCCTCTGCCTACTAGAGGTGAGCGCCCCCTGGCGGCCCGCTAGTTAAACTGACTCCACGTCTGTCATTCATCCTCGTTTGCCTCTGGGTCAGGGAGGTTTCCCACAAGTGGTGCCTGGATGGGGAAGCTCAGTGGAGTGAACTGGTTCCCCACAGGTAGCCGCTGAGGCAGGAGGGACCTGAGACCTGCCAACATGGGTTGGCTACATTGCCTGTGACAGGGGCTCCAGGATTGTTTGCCAAACTTGGAATTATGGCATAGCCACACACACTGGCATGAAAAGGTGCACAGTGGACATGGCTTGATGCTGTACCCAGTGAGAACCGAGCTGGGTGTATCCTGTGAGGTCGTGTTTGTACAAACTTGTTTGTTTCTCTACGTGTGATGTACATGGAAAACCCCGTGGCAGGGTGGCCAAGAGGCTACAGAGGTCGGGCAACTGACTGACTGCGAGGGTGGGATTACATTTTTCATGTTGCCTGTCAGTCATTCAGCTTCTACGAAGGGCAGAGAAGGAGGGAACATAAGTTTCCATCCTTGGGTGTGGTGGGAACCTCCAGCCTGAGCCCGTGGCACCCTTTGGAGCTGTCCAGATGCCCCTCTGCCCACATTCCCAATTCAACGCAGGCTCAGGCAGGGAT